ATGAATCTCTTCAAAAGAACTTCGAGGCATTGTTTTCCTTAAAGAATCTTTTATTCGAGAAACAAAGTATCGGCACTACATAGTTGAAGCCAAAAACTGAATTCCCCTCCCCTGGCACAAAGTAGCAAAGTGCAATTCCTTTCTCCAATTAACAGTCATAAATCACATTCTCCAATTAACTTGAAGCACGGGCTTTCTCCCTATTTCTCCTGCCTGCCAAATTTCGATCAACTCTGGACCTAATAACCTTGGGTTCCCACGGCTGAGTTATTATTGTTATGACTAGCTGGACTCTCATCCACATTCCCCCTCCCAGCATCAATGAACTCTAAAAGCGATAGAGAAAAGATGGCTACATTTCCATCTGTTGTCAAAGCAAGAACATCCAATGTTAGCAGCGTTGACATCCGGCCCCCCTTACAAAAAGGACAAATCCTGTAATGTAAACAAAAGCACAGGTTAGGGGTTGCCTCTTGGTTTATTATGGTGTTTCTTATAGAACCTATTAATGAATCTGTCAGCTTTTACATCACTAGATTTCACCCAGGTGGTCTCAGACAACGGATATCCCTTCCATTGCACTAAAGTACTGCAATTTCCCCTTAAAAATTCAAGAATCAAGAATATGCTTTAATTCATAGTGAGTCTGTCCTGCCACCACGAGGGGTCTGAGTGCCTTCTTAGGGGGAGATCTTAAGGTGGAACCCCAAAAAGTTTTCAACAGGCTACAATGGAAAACAGGGTGAACTTTTCCTAAGAGCCTAGGAAGTTTTAATTCCACCGTGACTGGGTTAATGATCTTTACAATGGGGAAGGGTCCTAGATACTTCAGTCCTAACTTCTTATTAGGTAACTTAAGCCATAAATATTTAGTTGACAGATAAACCTTTTCCCCAACTTGGAATGTTCTTTGAGGAGCCCTTTTTTATCTGCCTGCTTTTTGTATGTCTCGGAAGCTTTTTTCAAAGCAGTTTTTGTGGTTTTCCAAACTTCCTCCCACTCCCTCACCCATTGATCAAGCACTTGTGGGTATTCGGGTATTGGGCTGAACTCTTTTCCTGTGGCCACTTTAAAAGGCGTGAAGCCGGTGCTGCTGTGAACAGAGTTATTGTAAGCCACCACTGTGAAAGGGAGGAGGTCACTTCATTTGTTGATAATTAACATAGCATCTGAGACACTGCTCCACAATTGAGTTCACGAATTCAGCCGCCCCATTAGTAGACGGGTGAAAAGCAGATGATAATCCTTGAGATGAGCCAATTAATTTAAGAAAACTTCTCCAAAACTTAGCTGTGAACTGCACCCCTGTCAGAGATTATTCGTTTAGGTGTGCCATGCAGTCTGTAGATGTGTTTCAAGAACATTTTGGTTAGTCGTTGGGTGGACGGGAACCTTTTGCAGGCAATGAAGCGAGCCTGCTTTGAGAACAGATCTATCACAGTCCAGATAACTGTATTTCCCCTACTTTCAGGTAGATCTACTATAAAACCCATAGCAATTTCTTCCCATGGTTGGGAAGGGTCTGCCACCGGTTGCCATAACCCAGGGGGTTTCCCTGGAATTCTTTTCATGGTGGCACATACAGCACAACTCCGGACATAGTTTTCCACATCCCGTTTCAACCCTGGCCACCAGAATTGATGGCGGATGAGGTGTAGTGTTTTTAAACATCCAAAGTGCCCAGCCTGTTTTTACATCATGGCCATGATGGAGGGCGTTAAGGCAGAGGGTCTCGGGCAAGTACAGCTTTCCCCCTTTGTAAGCCAAACCATCCCTGCATGTTAGGGAGGTTTGATTGTCCTTGAACCATTGGTTGGTGAGGAGCTCTTGTTTTATTTTCTTTGCCCCAGGGTCATTGGGATTAGGGGCGCTTGAAGGTGGGACTCTGCGCAGCGTAAGTTGAGAAGCAGTTTGTGGATTGGAGATAATTGCCTCATTAACCTCTTCATGCTGGCTTTTGTACTAGGGCAGTCTGGATAGAGCATCAGCTAAGAAGTTTTTTCCTCCCGGTATGTACTTTAGGGTGAAGTTAAAATGGTTAAAGTATTGTGCCCATTGTACTTGTTTCGGGGACAATTTGCGGGGAGTCTTTAGTGCTTCTAGGTTTTTGTGATCAGTCCATACCTCGAAAGGCACCTTACTCCCTTCTAGATAGTGTTGCCAGTTTAATAGAGCCCAACAGATTGCGAAAGCTTCCTTTTCCCACATAGCCCACCTCCTCTCACAGTCAGTAAATTTTTTTGAGGTGTAGGCGCAGCGTTGTAGGGTCTCACTCTGATTGTTTTGCAATAATACAGCTCTGACGGCCACATCGCTGGCATCACCTGAATCACACAGTGCTTCCTTGGGCAAGGATGCTTTAAGACCGGTTCGACCGCAAATAGTCTTTTTAAATTTTCAAAAGTGGTTTGACAGTTCATAGTCCATGCTAGTGGTTGGCTTGGACATAGCTTTCCTCCCTCTTTGCATGTTTTCAGTAATTCCATAAGGGGTAAGGCAATTTCAGCAAAGGAGGGGATGAACTGACGGTAGAAATTGGCTAATCCCAGAAAGCTCTGGAGCTGTTTGCAAGTCTTTGAATGGCAACCCCCAAAGGTGGTCGTCCAGTCCCTTCTTGAAGTGATGGACTAGGGATTGCTCGGGCCACCTCTCTATTCGGCCAGCTATCTTGCGAAACTCTCGTATGTATTCCAGTGCAGGTCTGCCAGCTTGCTTTATCTTGTGGACTTGCTCCTCCGTTTTGAGGGCAATGGATGGGTCCTTAAATCTTGCTCTCAGTTCTAGGAGAAAGAGATGGGGGTCCTCCAGCTCGGGTACTTGCTCATTATATAGATTGTTCAACCACTTGGATGCTTCCCCTTCCAAGCTGGAAGCAGCCACATTGACCATAGCAGCTGGGTTCAGGTAGAAATAGGTATAGTGGTTCAAGTGAGAGTCCACCTGATTAAGGAAAAAGATCAGCTTCTCCAGGTCCCCATCGAAGGTTGTGCTAAGAGGTGGCGCCATCAGTGGTTGCTGGCCTCCCTACTGTGGATGTTGCACCCCCATCGATTGCTGGCCCCCCATGGCAGCTGCTGTATCCCCAGTTACTGCAAGCCTCCCAGCAGTTGTTGCACGTTCGGAGGCTGTTGCCACCCCCACATGCAAATATCAAAACAGTCTCTTATCTACCAAAGCTACTAATACACTCCATAAATAGAATTAACTTTATGAAATCCCTGAAAACAATAAAACACTAATAAAATAAAAATGCTAATAAAACCAAATAGTTTGTATGTTCATAGGAATATTACTGTGATCCTGTCTGGGAGGTGCATGAAGAAAGCTGGACTGCAGACAGGAAAATAATATACAAATGCATTTAAAGATAAATTCAACTTTTATGGTTTTTGCATACATGTTCACATCTTTTCAGTCCAATTTGCTGAGAGAGATACAGCACAACTTGCTCTTTAAAGCTCACAATCTAATGCCATCAGCACAAGGGAGAAATATTTCATTGCAGACATGTAATTGTGCAGACATTTGATAAATACAACCACTTTTACGAGAAGTTTTGTGAGCTGCAAGAATACACTGATATGCAAGCTTGCTCTTTGGCATTCATATTCCATCTATACAAAGTACAACACTGGCATTTTTCAAGAATAAAATATAATCCCTTTTGAATAAAGATGATTTTTCTGCTTTCTAAAAAGAAGCAGTACCATAGTGCTGAATCTTCCATGTACATCCAGCGTGCCTGGCTGAGGAATTCTGGGAGTTGAAGTCCACAAGTCATAAAAGGGCCAAGTTTGAAGTCCCCTGCTTTAGAGCCCCTCCAAGTATTAGAGTATTACTTTTACACACACTTGTGTGCACATGCATTTCTCTCAGCTGAACAATAACAGAATAAAAAGTAATTCTTGGCTGGTATTAAGCAAAATTAATACGAGTTTGCAAAATCATCCAAATAAATATTAGATGAGAGTCTAATATTACTTCTTGCAGAAAGCCAAGGCATCTTAAAATGGAAAATGTTAATATTTCAGTTATTCTTTTTCTTGTATCTTTTATTTCTTCTGTAGAACTAAAAAAAAAAATTAAGATGTTGGAATTCAAGGTATTGCTAATATAATGGTTGATAAGCCAGAAAACCCCCCATGAGAGAAATGGACACAATAGTTCTTTGGCCATCTCCAGTGTCAAAACCAATTTCTTATGAGGGTTAGCAAAATATATATATATACATAAAAAGAGAATAGGAGAAAATGTCTTACTGAGGAGAAAAGGTCTATCCATATTTATCTACAACTGGCTGTGTGTCTTTAAAAAAATTACTTTTGGCCTTTAAATACAATGAGGCCATCTCTCTAAAACAGGGGTCTTCAAACTTGGCCCTTTTATGACTTGTGGACTTCAACTCCCAGAATTCCTCAGCCAGCATGCCTGGCTGAGGAATTCTGGGAGTTGAAGTCCACAAGTCATAAAAGGGCCAAGTTTGAAGACCTCTGCTCTAAAACTAGGTTCTCTGTTAAATTACTTCCTTAGATACTAATTTGTTATGTTGTCATAGGGAACATAGGGGAGGCAGGTGTCATCATCAAATTAAAAGTGATTGCATGTTTTGAAAGCCTTAACATATTTTTCCTGATATTCCTCAATTAAAACATTTGTAGCTGTATGTCCTTCCAATTAAAACATCAACAAAACCCAAATCCTCAGCTTACATAATGTGAACCCAGACAAGTGAAAGGTAAAATGCAAGTCGATTGTTTCTTGCTTGTCTGTCATGTGTGAACTCAGTTCATGAAACTAATTCCAGAGACTGACCCATGATTGGACTGAAGTTGTGCAAGCATGCATTTCAGTGAGGACCAGCCTGTCAGGGACACAGCATGGCTGAATATGTGCATTTGAACCAACAATCACATCCACAAGAAATCTAGGCAGAGCTGAGTATAATAGTGTGGGGGAAGAGTATTTCCAGAGAGGGCAAAGCCTTGAGTCAGTGCTGAAGGTCAAAGTGTATTTTCCATTTGGCTTCCAAAGACTTGGGAGAAAAAATCAAAAGCCAAGCGGACATGGATGGGGATGAAAACGTAGGCTGTGTACACCACCATAGCAACAACAGTAATTATGATAGTATTGAACATGGATCGTTCCCAAGGCTCCAGGACATAACTGCAGGTGACCAGGAGATACTGAAAATGCAGCCAGTAAATGTAATCCTTAATTTTCTTCAGATCCATTGTTGGCTCAAATGTCAGGAAACCTAAGAGAAGATAGACAATGTAGACTCACAGTGAAAAAAGAAAACTGATTATCTGGTTATCAGTGTTCTAAAAAAAGAAACATACTTCACCCGATGTATTGCCAACATATCAGAGCTGCATTAAATGAACAAGCCCACCACAAATACCTCAAGCCAAGACGTAGGTAGAAATATCTGTCTTTAAATCTCAATTATATTTTACATCCCCTCTTTTCTACTGTGAGAATGGCTGTGCCATAAAAGAGTATCTGCCCTAGACCAGGGCTTTTCAACCAGTGGTACGGGTACCACTTGTGGTACATTGGCACCTGTCAGGTGGTACGTGACCATCCTAGAAAACTGGTAGCGGGGAGGGGAATGAGTTGAACTGGTGGCAGCACCGCACAAGCCTGAGCGAGAGATGGCTGGAGCTGCAGGGCTGTCAGGGCTCAGCGGAAGTGCCAGGATCAGCGCCAGGCTCCAGCTGGAGCTCGGCGCTGATCCTGGTGCTTCTGTTGAGCCCTGAAGAAGTGCCGATCAACTGGAATGTTACAGCATCTCCAGGGACCTGTGATTTACATTCAGATGCTTGGCAACTGATTCATATTTATGACGGTCACGGTGTCCCAGGGTCATGTGAAGTGACCAAAACCTGCTGCAACCACCCAGCAGACGGGGGGAATAAAAACCAAACACCCCCCACCCCACCCCCGCTGCCAATCCTCAACAGAAATGCCCACAACAATGAAAACCTCGGACAGGAGGAAGAGCGCGGCTGGGTGGGCAGGCAGGTGTCTTGCTTGGCTGTGGCTTGGGGGGGCACTTTTTTCAGTGCCATTGTAACTTCAAACAGTCACTAAGCGAACTGTTGTAAGTCCAGGACTACCTGTACTTTATCACTTTTTTCTTTTTTTGGGAGGGGGTCATCAAGTTTTTGACACCATGCTAGGCGACTGGTGGTACTCGGATGTTGCCATATCCTAAAAGTGGTACAATGGGTGAAAAGGTTGAAAAGCCCTGCCCTAGACCAGTGGTTCTCAACCTTTTTAATGCCGCGACCCCAACCGGTCGTAAGTCGAGGACTAAACCGGTCGTAAGTCGAGGACTAAACCGGTCGTAAGTTGAGGACTACCCAACCGGTCGTAAGTCGAGGACTTTCCCTGCCCGGGAGCGCCGCGCATGCGAGGTTCCACCCCCTGCGCCGGCCGAGGTGTAGCTGGCAAGCGGCAGAGACGGAGCAGGCCGACCACCAGCTGGCCCAGCCCAAGGGAGGTAAGGTACCCGTCGGAAAAGGGGGAAAAATGGCGGACAAAAAAATGGCGGACAGCCTTGCTTGGCGACCCCCATGAAATGGTCGATCGACCCCAAATGGGGTCCCGACCCACAGGTTGAGAACCACTGCCCTAGACCATCACTGATTTTGAAACCCCTATAATCTTTTACCTCCCAGTAATATTTGGCAAATAAATCACTGGAAATATCCAGAGATGCTGAGCCTGAGCTTCTCCTTCCTTCAATGCTTGCAGGGTGCAAGCTTCTGCTGCAATTTAGCTCAGAGGAAACATCACTGATGTAAAATGTAAGAGTTGCTTCCCTTTAGTATAGTCTCAGGGGACAAGCCATTGCAGGAAGCTATAACAGAGTTGGAAGGACCTTGGAGGTCTTCTATCCAACTCCCTTCTCAAGCAGGAAATGCTATAATAGTTCAGACAAATGGTAGTCCAATCTCTTCTTAAAAACCTCCAATGTTGGAGCATGCACAACTTCTGAAGGCAAGTCATTCCTTGCCTGAGTAATTGTTCTAACTGTTAGGAAATTTCTTCTTAGTTCTAGGTTGGTTGTCTCCTTGATTAGTTTCCATCCATTGCTTCTTGTCCTGCCTTCAGTTGCTTCAGAGAATAGGTTGACCCCTCCTTTTTTGTGGCAGCTCTTTTGATATTGGAACAATGCTATCATGTCACCCCTAGTCCTTCTTTTCATTAAACTAGACATAACAAATTACTGCAACTGTTCCTCATAGGTTTTAGCCTTCAGACCCATGATCATCTTTGTTGCTCTTCTCTGCACACTTTCTAGAGTCTCAACATTTTTTGTATGTGATGGTGACAAAAACTGGATGCAATATTCCAAGTGTGGTCTTACTAAGGCATTATAAAATGATACTAATACTTCACGTGATCTTGATTTTATCCCTTTGTTAATGCATTTCATTCAGTATTCACTGAATAATACCGTTAATAGTGAACAGTATTCACTATTCTATTCAGTATTCACTTCTATCTCAACTATTTCTGAATCAATCTTACTTCTATTGTACACAATAAGCTGGCAGGATGGAAAAAAGAAAGTTTTCAATGGGAATTCCATGGACCCAAATTAAGTATGGGTTCCCAGTTTAGTATTTGTCTCCAGAAGATTTGAATTATCTGACCTCTTGCATCAGACACACAACTGAATAATGGAGTCACTCTTCCATACAGTGACACTGCCACAACAGAATATTGTCCAGTGCAAGGAACCAGAAACAATACAAGGAGCTATTCAGAGTATCATGTCTATTGTTACTTGCCTGTAGATAAGAATCTTGCCAGACTAAAGTACTCACTAAACAACTTCTAGATAAGCAGAATTTAGGGAGGATCTCCTTCAGCCTCTTCCTCCCTATCGGTGATTCAAGATTAGCTAGGCTTTTCACTCTTCAGACTCCACCACAAATGCCAAAGATCGACCAGAAATATATTATATGTTATATATGTTATGTTTATTATTTATTGTTGTCAGGCAAAAACACTTGTACTTATCCAATTATTTTAAAACTGAAAGGGCATTACAACCCCCCACCCCGTTTCACTACCCCACTTCTAACATTTCAGAAAAATATTTTTTGGGAGCAACACATAACGGAAAACCTGAAAAACAGCTTCACCTTCTTCTGTGAAGACTGGTTTTTCTAGCTCATTTGATTCTTAGCATATCTAAGATTGGTTTGAACTATAAAGATAAAGTCAGAAGACTTGTTTCTAATGAGAAAATAACATACACAGAAGCAATACCTTAAATGTAGAATATCTACTTTGTTTGCAGATGTTCTCCATTTTAGCATCCCCAACTACATATCTGAAATATTCCTTCTAATCATTGTGAACCAAATTGGAATACCAATCTGGCTGTATATATTTTCCTATGTATTTATACTTTTTCAATATTAAGAGTACCCAAAGAGAAGACTGTTAAAGAAAGACTTCGTTAGAACTGAGTAATTGATGTGGTCCAAAATGAGTGTCAAATTTACATAACCTTTGGTAAAAATGTAGATGTAACTCAAAGAAATGATTCTAATACTCTCAAGCTGCATGTGTGTTTAAAATCCAAACCAAGATCAATTGTTTCTTATGGACGGAACATTGCAATAGTAAAGTAAACATTGCAATTAACGTTATCTTAAACTGCTCCCTATGTACATTGTCTGGTTTTAAAATCTGTACAACCAGACAAAATACATAGACAGAATTATGCCCAACAGAACTCCTTCTGAATAAGTTTTATTGAATTTCTATACTGCCTTTCTTCCAAAAAAGAAAGTGGACAGTTCTTTTTCCATACTGTGCCTTTACTTGCTTAATACTCTTCCAGTCAATATTCTGAGTGGTTGTCTTAGAATTATTCATTAGTCCATTTGCAGAGCAATCTTATGCTCCAGTTGAATCACTCCAGCATATCTCAGATCTTGTTAGATGCAGCCTGGCAGGTCAAAGAAACCTTTGCCTTCATGTTTTTCCAGCTTCTTTCTAAAAATGTATTTCCATGCCTTCTATGTAACAAGCGGACAAGTTAAGATTTCACAACCCCATTAATGTCTTGGAGCAAGTAGAAAAGCAGGTCCTGAACATTGCTACCCCAGAGGCCAAAATGGCTTAAATTTAAAAAGAACTCAACAATCTTGTTTTTAAATGATACTCATATGTAACAGAGAGCACACACCATTTTAGATGCATTTTCACATATTCAAAGCCTGTCTGTCTGTCTATCTGTCTATCTCTGTCTATCCATAAATACACCTACCACTGTACTGATTGTACATTCTATCCCAATAACCTATAAATCAATAAATGACCTTTATCCTGGTAGATGATGAAAACATTTTAAACTGAATGAAAACATAGCAACCCTGAACAACGTATCAACAAGTTATGATGAAAGTTTAAGTGAAAGAGACTTCTTCAAAGCTGAAGCTTTTGTTCAATCTGCCCTCTGCAAAAGAATAAACATGGTTATGCCTCTTACCTTATACACTGACTGACATCTTTTTACTAGCAAAGATAGTTAGGCAAAGAAATAGAAACACAGCAAGGATGTTGATTGTTCTTCAGAAATTTGCCAAGGATATATAGCAAATGTGAGATTTTTCTCTATCCAAATTGAATTTTTATAGATATTCTGCTCTACATTTTTTTTCTTTTTCAATGCCAGTTAAATCTTGCAGATAGTCAATCTGCCTGTCAAAATATAATACAAATAAAAGCTGTCATTTATCTCTGAGTTGTTCTTCCAAATATCCTATTAAATGGAAACAACATAATTTTATTCGCTGCAACGGAGGTGGATTTTTTAAAAAATATTTCTTCACATTTAAACCAAACCAAACACCCAGAATCATTATGTGGAGGGAATAGGTCATCAAGAAGAAAGTTTCAGTGTAGTTCTTGAAGTAAGGATTGATTTTCTGTCAGGGAGAACAATTAATCGGTGGAACAACTTGCCTCTAAAAGTTGTGGGTGCTCCATCACTCAAGTTTTTAAAGAAGAGATTGGACAACCATTTGACTGAAATGGTATACAGTCTCCTGCTTGAGCAGAGAGTTGGACTAGAAGACCTCCAAGGTCCCTTCCAACTCTGTTATTCTGTTTTAACCTGTATTCAAATGTCAACATACAAATGCCCTGCGAGGTTATGCACAGTTTCTAGAAAAGTTTTAAACATTTGTCTAAAAACTTCTCT